GAAACGTCAGCCTTCCTGCTCCTCTGATGCTGCTTGGCCTGCTGTGTTCATCCAGCTCTACACCTTGTTATCTCTAATACAGAATTGAAGAAGGGGTTTGAATAATAGATAAAGACTCAGATTTATTCTGAAATATAAAGAGATAGAATAGGTTAATCCTTTCCTTTTGGAATCCATCTTGAATGATTATTTGTTATAGGTTCACTATTTTCTCATTGATGTTGGCAATTTCTTACACCTCCCCCTGACCCCAGACTTCGGCCAATTAGGCTCCACTAACAATAAAAGATTGCAAGAATTTTAATCTTGGTTTATTCAAACTACAAAATAAAACTTGAGTCACATTTATTCCTGTGATATTTATTTAGCTTAAAGTTTCAGTGATTGAACTGCTCAAACCTTTCTTGTGGTGTTACTCAATGAAGCCTCGTTTCTGAGCACCACATGGTGCAACCACCTCCCACCTCATAACACCCAGGAATAAACTCTTCTCCTTTATCACCAAAACTGAACATTTGAACTTCCAATTGCTGATCCATTAGCTCTCCTTTTGCCTCACTCATCTGCAATATTCTCTCACCTTCATCTTTGATACTGTTTATCGAAGTAAAACCCTTATTTCCACTCACTCTGATCATTGCTCTGGTATGGTTCTCCTCTTCATTGCTTTAAGTTAAAGAGAGATAACTTGTACTTATTAGGCATAGAACTGGTTTAGACATCCATGGCCTGATCTGGCTGGATAGCAACAAGCAATATCAAGCTTTGCACACCTTTGTCAAAACTGTCTCCTGCAATTCTAATTTCACTCTTCCTCTTAAAACAAATCATCTCTTTAAACTCTTTTCTCCTGCCCCCCACAAGTGTGGAGATCGAATCGAAGACATCTGTTTAGCTTGTTCTAGGCAATCCACCATCCTCTGAGCTCACTAATCCAAAATTCACTCAAACTTACAAAGAAGTACACCAAATATACTGAAACAGGCCATTCAAATAATACAAGCATTTATTCTCTATTCTAGGCTCTTCTCACCATTCCTCATCAAACTTGTTCATAAATCTTCATTCTCATCTCCTTCAGACGCTCAATTCACTTCCCGCTTTATGACAGTGAGTAATCATACACTCTGTGTATAAAAATGTATTCGGAATTTCCCATTTGAATTCTTGGTGGCTATTTCATATCATTGCCACTAGGCTTAGGCTACCCCACAAGTGGAAACACTGTCTGTAAAATCAAAATACGACCATAGGTTCACCGAAAAATAGACACAAGTGTAGACCATTTCGCTCAAGCCTTGCTCTGCCATTCAATAAAATCAGGCTAGTAGTTGTTGGCTTAACTCCACTTCCTTGCCTGCCTCTTGTAATCCTTGATTCTAGCTTCCACCAAGTACAGGAAAGGAAATTCCTCACCTCAGTATTAAATGGGAGATCTTTTGTTTTTAAACATGCCCTAGTACTCCGCCGAGTACAGTCAAACCTGCTCAATCATTCATCAATTTCAAGACAACCCCTTTATCCCAGGAATCAGTCTAATGATCCTCTTCTGAATTGTTTTAAGCGCAATCATAACTGGGCTTGAGAAAGGAGACCAAAACTGCACACAGTCTCACCAATGCCACATAATCTATAGTTTCGGCAAGACTTCCCTTCTTTTACACTCCACGTCACCCCTATCCCCTTGCACAACAGCCTAACATTCCATTTGCCTACCTCATTACTTTCTGTACCTGCATGCTAACTTATAAAGACATACAGATCTCTCAACATGACAGCTTGCAATCTCTCACTAATTAAAATAATAATTTTTAAATCTGCCTGTCAGTGGATAATTTCACATCTTTACACGTCATATTCCATTTGTTAAATATTTATCTACTCATTTAAGCTAACTATATCTCTTTTTAAACTCTTTGCATCAGCCTCACAACTTGCTTTTCAATCCATCTTTGTGTCATCAGCAAATTTGGGTGCAATGCAATTGGGTGCCTTCATCTAATTATTAATATTGACTGAGCTAATTCATACAGATCGAGAAATAATTGAGGCCTCCAGTGTCAATTCCTATGGCACTTCACTAATCACTGTTTGTCAAACTGAAACTGATCCATTTATCTTGACTTTATTTCTTGCCCGCCAGCTAATCTTCTATCCATGCTGACTACCAGCACCAACATCATGATGCCTTGATTTTCCTTCAAAAAAAAGATACAGCTTATTCACACTTTGCCGACAAAAGAGTGTGATTCAACGAACCTCAACTCACCATGGAACATGTGATCTTTCAGCCCATTCCCATTAAATTGCTGACCACTTGTATTTACTTCTGATCCCCTTGCTACCTTACACCAGATATGTGTCTTCTTTACCCTCAAACAGTGTCTCCTTCGTTCAACATTTTATTAATCCCTTGCTCAGAAAACCACCCTTGACACTTCATTCTTAAAAAAAAACTACTGTCACAGCACCTTTCCTTTATAAAGTTGTTGAATGAGTTTGTCACTTCCAACTCTGCCATCCTTTCCTCAGAACAATGTTGGAAACTCTCTAGTCAGACTTTTGCCACTGCCACATGGTATGGTCATGGTTTAATATTCTTCTTGTCCTTCCCTATCCCTCAGCAGTAGGAGGCTTGTCCATCAGGCAGCTGACAGGACAGAATACAGCCCGCTGTAGAGTCCCATCATTCCTTCAATCTATGGTTCAAATCCAGATAAATGCACGTGGAAGATTCTGCAATGAGCTGCTCCCCCAGGGGCCAGTTCTTTCCCATCTTGTGGCTCCTTGGTGAAAGTGAAACAGCCTGTCACTGGAGAAGCTGATTGCTGTGCAAACACTCCTGCATCTTCATTTTGCCTGAGGCTGGACAGAGGGTTTGTAAAGCAGTTGAAGCTACCTCGTTGAATGTTTTTAAGGTGAAGACAGATAGATTTTTGAACAGTAAAGGAATTACGGGTTATGGTGAGCAGACAAGTAAGTGGAGTTGAGTCCACCAAAAGATCAGCCTATGATCTTACTGAATGGCAGAGGAGGCTTAACAGGCCAGATGGCCTATTCCTGCTTCTGTTTCTTCTGTTCTTATTAAGTGGCAAATCTACAGTCATCTTGAGAAACTGGATACCTGCTGGGTTAGGGGTGGGGGCGGGGGCGGGGGATTGGTGGGGTGGGGAGAGGATGGCAAGCAGACTGGTGATTGACTCAGAGCGGACCATTGACCCATTTGGGATTGAGGGTGGAGGCATAGATCCACTTGTGACTGTTTTATCTATAAAACTGGATAGCACTTTCAAAAAGACACATGATAACTCCACTCTCTCTCCTTTTAAGGCTTACAGTCAAAGGTGGCAGCTATCAGGACGTCATCAAAATATGTAAAATATTCCCTACCACTAGCATGCCACAGGATTTTCTCTTTAATCTTCAAAATATTCAATTGCATGGCATCCAGAAAAGGAATTCTGTAAATGACTAATGGAAAAATGTTCAAAAAATCTTTAGGTGTGATTTTGCATACTTCAAATATAGGAGTGCATCACATTGAACCAATATTTTATAATAGCATGTTAAGTTTTTTTTTAAATTACAGGAAAAAAGAGAAACCAATGATCAAGAAATCACATAAATAATTGTGAGGCTAATGTGGAGAGTATCTGTTTTATGTAGTAATAGAGCTGGCTAATGAATTAGAATGTTGAGTATCCATATACTGAATATTACTGTCTAAAACATGACATAAAATGGTTAATATACTTAAGTATTTGGTGATATCCTCTTTAATGCTGATCTCGGCATAATTAAAACATATTATCCAGTTATTATTGCATAGCTATTCATGGAATCATGCTATTCACAAAATGGCTGCAGTGTGTCTCATATTACATCAATGACCACTTAAAACACATTTCATTAGCTGTAAAAAGCTTCTGGACATGCTGAGGTTATGGATGATGCTATACAAACAGAATGTTTTCTTACTGCTGAACTAATAGGGAAGTATGGGTAATGTAATACATAAAAGATTTAGATTTCATAAAGACAACTTGAAAAAAGAATAAACTTAACAATGCAGTTTTTACTGTAGAGTTTAGAGATTCACTACACATTGTGATGCAATATTCTCAAAACAACTTAGACTTTTGTTAAGGTATCAATTTGTTTTTCAAGTAACAGATTTTCCCACCATTTGTCTAAATTTTAAAGTGATGACATTTTTGACAAAGCATCATATGTAATGTTCATATGTTGCTGAAATTTGAGTTTTTATTTTAGTAGTATTTGCAAGCTCCCACAACTCCCACAAACTTGTAAAGCTACACAAGTCACAGACATTATCTAGC